CACTGCTGCACACCCAGCCCCAACCCCACCCACGTATAGAAAGTATGACAAGATCTGAAAGATGTCCAAGTAAAATGGCGACCCCACGCGTTGGGGCGGTGCCGCTCCATATCCCCACCCTGTTGTCCCTGCCACCGCCCTCCTCCACCAGTAGTTTTTTCCGTGACGTTGGGGACTGCCGACTGGGAGTACAGCGACTTCACTTGGTTTATTACAGTAGCTAATTATACGTAGGTTGAACTCAAAGGTCCCGAATATGTCGGCTGAACTCAAGGTCCCCAAATGTCTACCACGTGGTTTGGTTAACACGCTTTTGTCTTCACCTGATGTCATGGGCTGCCAACTCCGTGACGACAAGGTGTCGCCGTCACCGTCGCCGGCAGCATTGACACTTGTGCCACAGTTAATTTATATTTGACTGGATCCGGAGTTCTGGAACTGTAAAATTAAAAAAAAAAATAAAGATTTGGTGGAATACAAATTATTTAAAATAAAGGGAAAACGGGACTGCTCATCTGGGAAAAAAATCTCACTAATACAGATTTGAATTCCTACTTTTAAATAATAAAAAAAAATAAAAGATTGAAAAATGGAACATAGAATAAATATTGAAAAATATGAAATATGTTGTGGGACAAAATAAAACAAAGCAAAATTTACTTTTTTGCATAAATTTTTCTTTAATTTCTCTTTATCATCTCAATCATAATCTTGAATTTTTACTTTTTTTTATAATATATAACTATTTTATCTTAAAACAAAAAAAAATTAAAAATTCAGAACAATATTTCCTTTCTCACAATTTTAATGAAACAAGGGGAGAAGATTCAAAGGGGACAATCGCCACCCACTTCCATTTTTTCAAACAGAACGGAGATAGGATTTGATTTCCTGTACAGATGTGCTTCAGTTTTCAAAGGCCTTTAAGAGAAAAGAAAAGAAAAGAAAAAGAAAGAAAGAAAATGTTAATTGGGTAAGCACAATGAGAAAATAAGTAGAAAATAGTTTAAATTATTCATAGAAGTCATAACTTGAACATTGTTTTAATAAGTAGCTTTCAACTCAACATTTCATTAAAAATTAAAAATAAATTAAAGGAGGAAGATTGTCTTATATATTTCAAACAATAATTTTATATTATTACAAAATTAAGGGAAAATTAAAATTTCTTCTGGAGAAATTCCTACCCCCTTGAAAATCCAACCCACTTTGCTCCCCTTCGCTTTCAAATTGTCGTGATGTCAACGTAGGTAAAGACTTTTGGGGTGTTTGGTTTGAACGAATATCTGACTTTTTCTTTTTATAAATTTTTATAGTTAGAAGAAATTAACTTTTATTTTAAATAAATCTTAATGAATTAAACACTCAATTTCCCTTTTGTTTAAGTTATCCAAAAAGTTCAGACAGTTCCATAGTTCTACTCAAATCTCCTCCTTTATTCCTTTTCTTTTCTTTTTTTTAACAAAAATAAATATATGACGTAGAATACGTAAATAACTTTTTATCCTTAAAAAAAGAGAAAATTTTTAAAAATTCGTTAGAATACTTTTAAATAGACCTTATACAAAAATTAAGTTAAAATAATTTTAAAGAATTTTAAATAACTTTTGAAACTCGTGAATCAAACTCTATTCAAAATTAAAAAAAAGAAATTACAGTTCGAAAATAATCTTACAAACCAACTCCCTTTTAAATTTATCATTTTGATTTTTTACTTCATAAAATTGAGAAGTGATGGTATTTTAATTTTTTTTAATCTCCAAACATGTAAATGGATGATGTTAGGGTATATTTCTGAAATTAGGTTTAAAGGAATTATAAAGTGTAAAGAGTTTAAGAAGTGATAAAGTAAAATTAAATTAGATATACATAACGAGGATTAAAGTAGTTTTAAAAATGATTTAAAAATAAATTGAAAAATATAATTTTTTAAAGTCATGTACTTAATATAAGATTAAGGTAGAAGTGAATTCAAAATAAAAATTGTATGTCTTTGTAAAACATATAAAAAAATGTTGAAAAGTGTAAAATAGGTGTTCAAAATAACACCCGTGTAATTTGCTAGTGGAGGAGCATTAGTTTAAAAATACTATTATGCCCTTCATTTTTTTAAAAAATTCATTTCGTCTCCGTTTTGTTCGTCCCTACAAAGCCAATTACCGAGCTCACACCGGCTCTATAGGAAAAACTTTGCTCGACTGTAGAGCCAACTGTGGTCGACGACTAGTCCGGTCCCCATTTTGGTGAATCCTTTGAAATTCCACGACAACTGGCAATATAGGTAGATCGATCGATGAGGGGGTTTCCGCTCGAGAACGAGTGGCACCAGGAACTGTCGAAGGATGTTGAGTGGGTTTCTCAGTGATCTGAGGGGAAATCGAGAGAGGGTTCGATGATGGTGGGTTGCAGAGAAGAGAACAAGAATGGAGGAGAGAAGGTTGCATGGGTGCTCAAACGACAGGAGGGATAATAGCAGTGGAGTTAAGGGAGTTGCAAGGGTGAATCGGACAATGCTCGGGTACATTATGAGCGGTTGTGAGGGGGTTTGGGTTGCAACTACTGGGCGGCCCGATGGGAGAAGTTACAGAAGAGAGAGAAGGGAAGAAAGGGGCAGGGGTGAGAAAGGGGTAAGATAAAGAGAGCCGGCGATGGGCGACGTCCGGGGGATTTCGCTCGGGAGGGGTTTTCTACTCGATGAGGGGTCACAAACATCCGACGATGAGGTCGGCGACAAAAGAGGATAGACGTGGGAGGTAGAACAACAGAGTGTTCAGTAAATCATCAGAGGCAGAAGAGGGACGTCGGAGGCGGCACCATCTCTTTCTTTTTCCGAATATCAGGAAATACAACCTTTGAAAAGTAGGGTTAATATGGAATTAAAAAATATTAAAATAATTTTTATTAATGTGGCACGCCCAGTCAAATTCCTCGTCGACAAATACCCAAAAAAAAAATTAAATTTATAGATATAAATATTTTAAAATTGTGAGATTCATGAATTTAAAATGAATAATATTTATTATTAAAATAAATTATTACAAAATTGTATTAGAATTATTCAACTTTAAAATATAGTGGGACAAACTTCAACGGACAATTTTGAACTGTGACGAAACAAATATAAACAAGATCCCTGAGTCAAAAACATATACAATCACTATTTAATTTAAAAGAAGTGGAAGTTGAAGACAATATTTCAACTCATAATGACTTTTCAATGGGATTACTTTTTCACGATTCATTGCAAACACCCCTAAATCGAATTTGAAAAAAGGAAAGAGAGCCTATTTTTCAATTTTAGTCAAAGAAGGAATTGAAAATCCAACAGATAAATGCCACGCCGACCCCTTTGTGTCAGACGCGATTAGAAGGACAGCGACGAGGGGAGAAACTCCGGGCGGTCCAAACGGCTTTCCGCCCTTCTTTGACTCCGACGGCACTGCCGGAAAAAGGGCACGCGCTTTCCTCTTGCTGCCAACCCACCGTAAAGGTGTTTACTTTTTTTATCCATTATCCCAAATTGTCCGCTGTCATCTTTCTTGCTTTCCCACCCAGATAACCTTTCTGGTTTGCTAATAAAAGGAATGTCGGGGTATTACTCACCCAATGTTCTTATTTTTTAGTTAATTTTTAATTATTTTTAAATAAAGTTATGTATTTTTTTTTATAGAAGAATAACTGTATATGTATATATTAAAAAAATTATATTAAATAGCTAGGAGTATAACGAAACTTAAAATTGAGATTTTTTTTTATCTTTTTAATAAAGTAATATAAATTTTTTTATTTAAAATTGATTTTTCTAGCTTTTTAAGATGTAAAATTACTAATAAAATTTTTATACTCAATTTTTTCTAATATTTTTTTCGAACGATAATAAAGATAATCCATTTAATGTGTGTTGAAACATTGTTTATTTAGGTAAGATTTTATTAATTTAAGTTTTGAAAGTTTTCTTTCCAGCAACGAAACAGTTACAAGAATTATTAACATTATTCTATAAGCAATATATGCATTAGGAAAATATAATTATTTTGGATATAAGATTTTAATTTTGAGATAACTCTTTTTAGAGAATTTTTGTTCTTGTAAAATAAAATAATAATTTTAGTTTTAAATCGGACCAGACTTTATTTTTGTAAATGAATCATAAAATATTTAAAAGTTAATTATTTGTAACTGAATATTAAATTCATACTTGATATTTAATTTTGTAACTTAAAAATGCTAATTGTTTATCAAAATTATTACTATTCGAATTTACTAAAATAAAGGAAGTCCAAAATGGCAAAATGTAGTTACTTTACATTTAAAAGTAGTATGTTGAGGGTTTTATTTATATTACATTGATACGTTATTTGTCTTACATCTTGTAAATAATGAATATTTTTCTAGTATGCTTAATGGTACCTTTAAATATATTTATTAATAAATTCAATTTCAAAATTTAAATCAAATGATGGAATACATGTAATGTAATATTCATCTAATGATCTTTTTTTTTTTTTTTGACCTTCTTCCTCTCTCATCTCTTGACGTATCAAAGAGAAAAAAAATATGAAAATTACTTAAAAAAACACCTCAAAGGTCCATTAATCAATCCTCTGAGTTTTGAATGGACACGAACAACCCTGCTAATTGTACTGTCACGTTCTTCGGCCCAAATAAGCAGCAAGAAATGAATTCATTTGGGTCTATGGGCCCAGGGTTTCTATAAGAGATGAATCCCACTTCAGTGTAAATAAGTTGGGCCGCCCCTCAAACCCATATCAAGATCTCAAATGGCCCACATGGCTACTCCTAGTCCAGTAGTTCCACTTCCACATTAAGTTCCATTCTTCGTCTAAAAGTCATCAATTATTTTTTTAGAGAATGTCCCTCAACTTCCTCTCTAATTCCTTGAACTCCTCTCTCTCAGGTTCGCTTTGAATCTCACTTTTATCAGCAATCCTAGTCCAGTTCGCTATTAATCTGCTAAACCCCTCTCCTGTGCTGCAAAAATGGAGAACTCTACCCAAGAATCCCACCTCAAATCCGAACATTCCGTCACCTATGACTCCACCTACCCTATCTACGCCATGGCCTTCTCTTCCTCCGCCCCCAACAACCACCACCGCCTCGCCCTGGGCAGCTTCATCGAAGAATACAACAACCGCGTGGACGTTGTTTCCTTCGACGAAGACACCCTCAACATAAAAGCCCAGCCCAATCTCTTCTTCTCTCACCCCTACCCACCAACCAAGCTCATGTTCCACCCCAACTCCTCAGCAGGCGGAAAAGCCGCCGGCGACCTCCTGGCCTCGTCCGGCGACTACCTCCGACTATGGGGAGGTTCGCGAAAGCTCCATCGACGCCGTCTCTATCCTCAATAACAGCAAAACCAGCGAGTTCTGCGCACCTCTGACCTCATTCGACTGGAACGAGGTCGAGCCCCGCAGGATCGGCACCTCCAGCATCGACACAACCTGCACAATTTGGGATATCGAACGAGGAGCCGTCGAGACCCAGTTGATTGCTCACGACAAAGAAGTCTATGACATCGCCTGGGGCGAAGCAGGGGTGTTCGCCTCTGTCTCGGCAGACGGGTCGGTTCGTATTTTCGATCTGCGAGACAAGGAGCACTCCACGATCATCTATGAGAGTCCTCAGCCCGACACGCCTCTTTTGAGATTGGCTTGGAACAAGCAGGATTTGAGGTACATGGCGACGATTTTAATGGACTGCAATAAGGTTGTAATATTGGATATTAGGTCGCCGACGATACCAGTGGCGGAGCTGGAGAGGCATCGGGCTAGTGTGAACGCAATTGCGTGGGCGCCGCAGAGTTCCCGGCATATTTGCTCAGCGGGAGACGATTCGCAGGCTCTGATTTGGGAGTTGCCCACGGTTGCTGGACCCAATGGGATTGACCCAATGTCCATGTACTCTGCTGGATCGGAGATTAACCAGCTCCAATGGTCGGCGACTCTGCCTGATTGGATTGGGATTGCCTGTTCTAACAAAGTGCAGCTCTTGAGAGTTTGAGGTATGGGGTCTTCGGTCTATGTTCATTAACTCTTCAAATTAAATGAACTGGTATTACTGTTCTGGGTTCTAAAGTTGCTACGATTTTGACCACATGGGCTATATTTGGATATATGACGCTGGGGAGAATTTTAAAATCATCCATCATGTTTATTTGCATTGCAAAATTATTACTAAAGTTTTAAAAGTTTAGTTTAGGATGATTTTGCTGAAATGTTGCAAATTTGAAATTCTCCTCATGATGCTGTTATTTCAAAGTTTGATTTGTTTTTTTGGGTTACTTCCCATGTGATTTTTAGGAGCTATAGCTGTTTCCTACTACTACTACTACTACTAGCTGTTGATGTTTGTCAAGCTATCCATTTGGGGGAGGGGGGGGGGGGGGAGGGTGCGGGGTGCAGAGACTGTGTAATATAGTAAGGCGCCGTTCGGTTGCATTAGTAGGGCAAGGGGGATATTATGCAGTTGGTACAGTAATTTTACACATTCAAGAAGTAATTTTATGCATTCAAGAAGAAGTGTATAGACAATATTGTTTTAAAAATTTTTTATCATCTTTTATCACCCTGTATAAATTGTATGACATCCATCAAGCCCCAATAATTTTATGTTGATTCGGCTGGGAAAGTCAAACAAGCACAGCTACTCGAATTTTTTATCTTGATCGTTTACAAGGCTATCGAACATATGTTAAAGGGATGGTAAGGCAGTATAAGTTTCTTATCCTGTTTTTATCAGGCCAAGCAAGTAGGGCCTCATTTGTGAATGATAGAACTGGACATTAGATGATGCTGATAGATGCCGAACCTGTAGCTGGACTAGCTACTGCATGTAGTGAAAAATTGAAAAGAAAAAGGAAAGAAACTCAAAGGCTAGATGCGTTCAATGAAGTGCAAAGAGGCACACTATCTGAGCGCCTCAAGTTGAGGTCTGAGGAGCAAAAATGCACACCTTATTGCTAACTGTTAGTTCTGCTTTAGCATTAGTTGTCAAAGAATCTTGCTTCATATCCAAGTAGTTTTTTCTCTCATTGTCCTCCTTTCTGTATCCCTTCTTGTCCTCTCTTTATCCCATTGCTAGACTTTCTTTGAAACCCATTATTTTACTTCCCTCATAGTCTGTCTTGTTTTCTCTCTCCTGGCTCTAGACTATCTCTTTTGAGTTCCATCTAAAGGATTTTTTCTTTTTTTTTTTTTTGGCTTCTCCCCTACCTCATTCGTCACACCTAACATGGAACTTGTCTTCCTTTTTCTTGTCGAAAAACATAGTCCAGCTGTGCTATTAATCTAAATTTGTTCTTGGTCTATTTCAAATCCTTGTTACATAATTATTTCTAAGTGTTATAAAGCGCACTTGACTTCACTTAGGCATGGATCTGCTTTGCAACTGGTGCACTTTAAGAGCCCTTGGCACTTAAGTTTGTCTTGCTCTCCTAATGAAACTGCTCAAAGGGGGAATAGGTGTTTGCCTACCAACAAGTTATAGGTACTATGAAAGAGTATCATCTTCTGTTATTGGCCGTTAGCGTATTTATAAGATTAGGATTGATCTTGCTATTTGTGTATATATTGTTTGTTATACCTTCAGATCCACAAGCTTCAAAAAGAATAGGAATGTTGTATGAGATCTGTTACTTTGTATGATAAGGGTGAAATGGGAACCTTCTCTGCAGAACAACCTAGTTTGATCACTTTGCAACCTTATTCAATTCTTATGAATTTGCTGCTAGTTTGAGCAATAGATCGGACAGTGGTGACAATTAGAAGTGTTTAAAGAGGTTCAATTTGCATAGTGTTGATGCCTAGTTTGGAGCTCATGGACCTGGTGGTTGTATCTGTAGTCAAGAGAATGAGAGAGAAAGGGAGGATTGGATGGATGGATGGATGGATGGATTTGGAGATATTGGAAGGCTTCCTATCTTGTTTGAGTAGGTTCGCAAACTTACCTCATAACTGTAGGATGAATTATAGTAGGGATTCTATCCTCAGCTATCAAGAGTCGACTTTAGCATCCCACTTGGTATGTCACCACCTCAAGTGATATATACCACAGAAAAACAGAGAAATGGAATTAAAGAGAGAGTAATTGAAGTTATCTGGATTGCCTGAATTCAATTGATGGGGATATGATTTATATATGGACTATATGGTTTATTCTGAAAGATATTTATAATAGGAATTCTTCATGCAGAAATAAGAAAATATCTGCAACGTTGTCAGAGCTTAAAAACTGTCCTTCATTGTATTCCTATTTTAGATAGATGATCAAACCTGGTAATTTCTTTGTTTTCCAATTGAACTGTTGAACTAATGCGTTTTTCTATTCAAGATAATCATTAAAACCATTGATGTATCAATGCTAATTGTTTCTATCTGTTTCATAGGACAACAAATCACAACATTTTTTCACACTTCCATGGGTATTTGTAACTAAAGGTTCCTGTTAAATTTTTGAAGCAAATACATCATTTGCTTACATAGAAACCAGTGAAGTTTCTAGTTATTCAAATTTTGGATGCAGGTGTCTTCCTCCTATGAGCACTGACCATCTGAGGAACACCATACAGCTCTTCCAGTCAGAGGAACAGAATTATCTCTCAAGTGTAGATCTAAACCATGTAAGTAGTTATTCTCAAGTATCAACTCTGAATATATAGATGTTAGTCCTGCGTAGTACTGTAACATGGAAAGTTAGTTTCTGTTTGTCTCGATGCTGAAAGTTACCGAAAGACAATGATGGGGAATGGGAGCAAATTTCTCATAGTTAAAAAAATTATTTTGTTTATTGCTATTAAACTATTGTCTTTATCTTGAAGAGCTTGGGATTATTTAGAATTTTAGAATTATTATTTATCATTAATAATTTGGATTGTTTGTGATTTATCTTGAGCTCTATGAGATATTATGTCACGACTCAGGAGTCCGATTTTGTGACCAGTACTAAGGTTAGGATAATTTTAACTCCGCAAGCCTCAAATGATCAGAATTATAATGGAACAAAATAAATTTAACTTAATATAATGTTTACAGTCTGATACAAATTTCTGAAAATCTAATACAATCATTAACATCTGAAAAATCTTTGAACTCAAATTCTATTTGTGCTAACTAAAACAAATTAACACAACAGGAAAAGATAATAACTGGCTATTACACTCGAAAACCAAATCTGCTGGAATCACAAAATCGGGATTAACAACTTTTCTTACACAACAAGATCAGTCGAAAGTACATAACCTGAGTGTTGAAAAATTAAGGAGTGAGTCTAACGATCCAGTGAATAGTAACACAATATTTACATAACAAGAGACATATATCATATAGTTTATATCATAAAACAGACTTTTTAAACTTGTACAAGTTAGGGAGTTGGTAATAGAGGACGGAACAGAAATCAAGATGGCAACCTCATGGTGTGCTGGTATATATATAATAGAACGGCAATATCTTAGTCTGCCGATAATCAATAAACAGGCCTATCACGTCAGACACACGTGATAGTCTAGCACCACCCCTGCTAGTTGGGGATATAAGTCAAGGTACACTCAGTTTAACGCCTACTGCTGTTAGCTACATTATTTTAACCGTTTGATACTTCCTTAAAACATTTTCCAAATTTACTAAAAACAGTTTACAACCTTTCAAAGTGTCCAAAATAACAGTAGCAGAAAAAATTAATTTTATAGATTTTCAATGTTCAATATATCAGAAATCAAAATCAATAGCTCAGGACATTTTCAAACAAATCAGAAAATTTCATATACGTCCCTTGTAAGCTTTTGTAACATATTAAATTTCAATTTCGAAACAATTGAATTTATAAACAATTTATGTAAAACTCATCATTTAATATATACAAAAAGTAACGAAACATATAAATACGTATTATTACTCACAGACACTAGAGAATCACAAGACTTGAGTTTCGGCACTTTAGCTTCACAAGAATCGATCACTCAATCTAGAAATAATAAAAAGTCTTATTTTAGAATACAATTTGTCTTATAATTAGCCTAAATTCAAATTCGCGTCAAAACCTTACTATTTTCTTAGGTTTTCGTGTTCAATCTCATATTGAGAATTCTTAAAGTCCCGAACCAATCACATAATTCACATTCGAAGTATTAAATTCTTGAACCAAGCTTATAAAACAATAAACTTGTTTAATTATTCTTAAACCAACCATTAAAGTACTAAACCGGACTTGAATCGGTCACTAGAAAGTTGAACCGACTATGAACAGGTCAAAATATCACTGAACCGGGCCTTAAACTCATTGAACCATCCTTGAAACCCATTGAACCGATCACAAAACCCAATAAACCGGCCTTAAATCCATTGAATCAGCCATAAAACCCATTGAACTGGTCTTGAAATACACTGAATTGGCCGTATAAGTCATTAAACCTAACTTAAAACCACTGAACCGATCAGAATTTGCCCTGAACCGGCCATAAATGTATTGAACCGATGGTTTTCTAAATTTTTTCTTAATTTCTTTGACATTGAACTAACCGGTTTATCATTGAACGGCCATTTTACCTTTGAACCGATCGTGAACTAAGTAGACAATTTAATTATCTTCTTTTCCATACCTTGAACCGGCTAAGAATCGGCTAAGAATCGGTTTAGAAGTTCCTGAACCAGCCATTTCTTTATTTATGCATAATTTCTTTTTTTTTTTCCAGCCTGTTCACCTGGGCCCAATCAAAATAAATAACCTAGTTTAGGGTTTGGCCCAATGGCCAGCCTAACCCATTGCTTCGCCCTGTCCTTGTTTCAGATGGGCCAACCCATGGCCTAACAAAATTCCAACCCGTTACAAGAAAACCGGAACCCAAACCCATTACCGGAAACCCATCTGGGTTTCATCTTCTTGACCCGGTGTTTTACAGTAACAGCCGAAACATAGATTTAGGAATTTACCTCGGATTCAATTGCTTCTCTTTCAAATAGATTCCCCCAGGCTACTAGCAATGACAAATCAATGGTTGTTGTAGATGGCTTTAATCAACTTGCAGTTGGCTGGAGCTTCTAAAATTGAGCTCAAACCGTGTGTTAATGGCGGATGTCTTTCCAATGAGAGAAGCAGATTTAACATAATATATGAAAATTTTTCTAAAATTTCCCTTAGGCAATTTGCTCGCGAGACTCTCTTTTTAAAGAATTTCTCCAGTTTTCTGTGAATTAAACTGAATTCATCACATTGAATTCAAACGATCTGAACGTTACAGGCATTCGGTTCAAGTTTCATAAAATTGCACTTTAGTCCTTAATTTCTTATTTCTCTGCAATCTAATCCTTCAAGATACTAATATATTGGGTTCGGACCCCTAACAGTTTAATTTATTCCATTAAAACCCTTAGTTTTTCAGTTGAGCCCCCCAATTTCCTGATTGTTTCAATTTAGGCCAAAGTTTTTAAATTATTTCAATTTCTCCAAAATTAGAGGTTTTTACGTATTATTTGATCAGGATTGGGGGGTTTTGGTTTTTATATGTGAGAGTTTATCCATAGAAGAATTTAGTTTTTCATAATGATATTGATTTGATAATTAAAATTATTGACTTTTCTGACTTTCTAATCTCGCATTGGAGTTTGATACTATGTGTAACAAGTTTATCTGCTATTTTTACTTCGTTGGTGAAAATATTGACGGAGTTGGGATGTTGGGGCTGCTGAGGGCACTTCATTTGGGAGAACTGTTGGACCATCTTTGTTGAATTGGTTATTATTTGAATAACCAATCGAGTTGGTCACGCAAATGGAGAAATTTGGGTCTGTTTTCATTTATATTATACATTTATGGTTCTCAGTTTTTGTTCTCTGTATTTCTGAAAATAAAAAAAATGAATAAAATATTTGAGAACTATATTGTTTCTGTATAATTTTCATTTTTGAACACAAATATTAAGAGAATTTCAAAAAAACGTGAAATTTGTTTGGAAAACAAATCAAAACAGGTGCTTGAACTCCCAGAACTTGAAGAATTAGCACTGCTACCGTGCTGCGGTTGTCAGGCACATGACGAGGACTGGATATGGGGATTTACAGGTGGAACACACAGGCTATAATTACTGAATCTAGAAATGCATTGGAGATTTATTAATTCTTTTTTTTATTTTTTTTGTAATGCAAAAGGAGAAAGGCATGGATTTGGAATGAGAATATAAAAAAGTTCATATCATTAAAGCAACCCAGCCAGAGAGAGGTTTGCACGCAGACGCAATAATGGACTTTCATCTGCTATTGGGAGTGGGTGATAGACACCCCCATTTACTTGGACAAATTCTTAAGTCCTTCCGGCAGCCACTTTAAATAATTTATGCTGTTTGTTTGTTTGTTTGTTTGTTGGAGTTTGATCTTGTTTTTAACGATAATCTCAAAATAGTTACTTAATTAATTGTAGACTAATGTCAATCCCAAACTTTAAAAACCAGGCGGTAAAAAATAGAAGGGCCAACATTAATGTGGATGACAAAATCGTGACTTAGCCTTCAAAAAGGAAGCTTGCGAAAGCAAAGAGCTAGTTGGTTTGCGCGGCAAAAGTTACAGCTAACCAAAGGAATTAATTCAATTAATGGAAGGATAAGCTGATCATCCCAACATGGGTTGTCGGAATTAATGTCGAAAATTAAACCGAGCCAAACCAATAACCATTCCTGTTAAAAAAGAGGTCAAAGTTGGAGAGCAATAGAGGCACACAACTAAGGGTAATTTTAGAATATTAAAATATATTTGAGAATAAAAATGTTGAAATACTTTAAAAATAATTTTTATTTATTTATAAAAATATCACCCCGTACAGAAGCACTTTTTCTTTAACCTCAAAATTCTACCTTTGTTTCTATTTTTTTAACCTGAAAAACAAAAGGTGGGTGAAAAGTGGGTGCAAGTAAAATAAGAGAAGGAAGAGAGTGAGTTTGGAAGGGACAAGAGAAAAGTAAAAAAAGGACAGAGAAAGGAGGGAGAAAAGAAATTAGGAGAAAACGTGGGGTATTTTAATTTTTTTATACGAATATTTAATTATGTTTAAGAAATTTTATTTTAATTTTAATTTTTTTAATTCAAAGACTGACCTTCCTCTTTACGACTTTGTAAAAGGCCGGTCTAAAAAACTCCAAGACTGAATCAAAAAACCCCTGGGCCCCCGCCAACCAGTTTTATTACTCCCCCTTCTGGAAGCTGTTACTCCACGAGGGACTTCCCCTCGAGTTGGGGGCCGACACTCACTATCCTCTGTTTTGATGGAACCCTTTTCAAGTAGTTCATTTCTGTAGAGTCGTATCTCCTTTCTTAAATTTGAAGTGTTAAATACATATATTATCTATATTTTTGTATTTTAATATCAAAACAAATATAAACACAACCATATAAATAATTTTCTACCATTTTGGATGAAGTCATTAGTTAATTATGGCTATCTCTAATCTTCTAAATTATGCACTATCAATTTCAGAATATCTAATTCTTTTATCTTTTCTTTTATATGCAAACAAAAGTTGTACTGTATTTATGAGGTGCATTTAGTGTTTGGAATAGGAAGAAAAAGTCTGATTTTTTTAAAAAAATATATCTATATATATAATCAATGAAAATTTAACATTTTTAGGATTGGTTGAAAATAAATTGATAGCCATAAATCTTCAAAAAAAAATATTACATTTAAAAAAAAATTAATGCCAAAGTGAATGCATGCAATGGAAGGTTTTCTGTACGCATTTTATTTCGTGGATTACCCACGTTTGAAAATGAATTTACGAATCTTATCCCCAACCACCAAAGCGCAATGGACTAGAAACGGAAGGCCATTTCAAACTAGCCCCGCGTCGTGCCTCTTTCGGGCGAAACACTCTATCACCTTTTTGGTAGGCAGTGGCTATTATGAACACGTTAGTCCGCCCACATGCATGACTTCTCAGAGCTTCTCTTTATCTTGCAAGTTGCCTTTTGTGAAACCGACGGACTTCCAAGTTACCATTAACCAGCAAGTCTATCCTTACAATATGACAAATGTAATGCCGTGTTTTATGACTTAGAATTATTTTTAAATAATTATGAATATGACCCCATTAATTTTATTGGTACAGAAATGGACCCAACTTTTGTAAATTTGTTCTTTTCCTTTTTTGAAAAGCATTAATTCACACAGTTAAAAACCTTTTTGACTAACCACAAATTAGAATTTAATTCCTAAAATTTAAGCCAAGACCTGAATTTCAAATTTCACCCCAAAATTTGCAATTACTTTAAAAACCGAACAAGACGTTTTTCAAAGCTACTTGAAATAATGACCCTGGCCATGCTCATTGACTCCTACCAAATCATTCCCCTTCCGCCTGAATAAATAAATCCGCTTGTTTCCGTCCTTGTAGAAGTACTTCCCAAACCCCAGCATCTTCATTTTCTCCCCCTCTGTCCTCTGCATCATGGGTTTTCCTCCCAACACCAGAATCCCAGATTTTGACCAACTTCTCAGCCTTCTCTTATACCTCACACAAGTCATGCTTGCGATGGCTGTCCTCTCTTGGGTCCCATTTTTCACGAGACCAAACAAAGAAGAAGAAAATTCTGCAGAAGAGTCCCGCCACCTGCTTCTCTGGTCGAAGTCCCGGTCCACCTCGTGGCCAGGTCGATCCAGGAGAAGCTTCCGGTTATGGAGTTCGGCCAGTTCGTCGCGAAACTGGGACGACGGGAACGAGAAGAAGGTTCGACTTGTGCGGTGTGTTTGAGGCGCATTGAGGAAGAAGATGAGGTGAGAGAACTCAGCAATTGTGTTCACGCTTTCCACAGAGAGTGCCTCGACGGGTGGATCGGTCGGGGCGGGGCTACTTGCCCGTTGTGCAGATCCAAGCTGTTGCCCGACCAAGAGACGAGTGGAGAGCCCAAGTGCGGCGGCGACCTGTGGCGGCGGAGAGAATGTTTTACCTGTTCGGGGAGGACTGCGTTTTTGGAGATTCGATGTTTTCTAGCCCGGAGGTCTTGAACAGTTTGGTATTAGGATTTCTATTAGAAATGGTTGAGTTGCTTGACATTGACTGTAATGTCGTCTTTCTTTATCGTTCCTGTATCCCGATGACTTAAGAGAATCAAACAGAGGGATTTAACATGTTCACATGATGCTCTAAATTTAAAGAAAATTAAATTTAAATGTTTAATTAGTTGATATATAAATAATTTAGCCAAATTAAAATAGAAAAATAGAAGATGATGATTCTGGGTTTTGCTTTGTACATAATTTTTTTTTTTCATCTCTGTATAATTCTTAATTTTCTCAGGGAGTCTATATCTGAGCAAGCCGGTAAACCTGACAAAAAATAAATTAGTGCTACTCGAGAGAGGGCATTTGATGATTATACGGAGCTTCTACGTCGGATCAGTGACATGGCAAATGGGTAATTTCATATTGCTTGTCAAAAGAAGTTACAAAAATTCTAAAGTTACTGACAATGGAAAACACATGACTTTTATTGAGTGAAGGTGGATTTCAGAATGGTAAAAAGTTAAATTGGATGAGAAATACGTAATATTATTCACCTCACTTCTCACTTCTTCAACTTCATCGTTGAAAAACATTTTTTGTGGGCGTGGTGATTAGGATTGAAAATCCAGGTCCGTTAAACAATAACTGCAGACCCTGTCCATCTATATTATCAGTCCGCTCAGGAACGAATTATCAGTCACAGAGCGGGATTCTTCTTGGGCATTACCCCAAACCATTTTCTCTCTTTGGAGTTCACCTCCCTATGGGAGTTGTAATTGCAGCAGAATTCTGGTGGCACAACCAAAACGCCAAAGTTCTTCACTTCTCCCCTTCTTCCCTCCTTAAGCCTTGGTCTATACTCGAAGAACCGTGTACTTATTTCTTACTTTAAGGACTACGTCCTTGTTTTAAGTGGATAGAATTCAATAGGTTAAAAAAAAAGAGACCGTTAAAATGGGCATCAAAAGTGCCGTCAAACACAGCATAAAAGATTTACGTTGGGGTGAGTTTGGAGATTGGAGATGTCCCCGAGCTTGAGGAATCTAACCAGTTGCGGAGGAGAGACGTAAGAATAAGTACAGTGCAAGTGCGTGAATCCGGGAACGAATCTCCATAGAAAGCTTAGAGAGATTATTTGATAGAGTGCGACACCGTACTTCTCCTGAGGAGACAGCGCGTGGCTAGAGGTGGGTCCAGTTGCCTGATTGGGGTTAGCCGCGTGAGGCATCCATTCCTTGGCGTGTACGGATCAAATATTAACTAAATATAATTATAACAAAATTTTATTTTATTTTATACTTATGTTTACTTCTATTTTATTTAATCAAAAAATTATTTTACGTATGATTTAAATTATAAATTAATTATGCCGTACGTAAGTTAACCTATCATTTTTCTTGGGTCTATAGGTTGTGGTCTTAATTAATTAACCAAGACCACTCGCACCCACAAGCCAGTTGCAAATGACTGCACAAATGGCTATTATAAAATACGTTAAAAAAAATTTTAAAATAGTAAAATAACTATTAAAAAAATAATTTATACAAGTTATTCTGTGAAAAAAATTTACTTGTAAATGACTAAAGTACCCAAACTCTTTGTGGATTCTCTTTATTTTCTCATTTTTCTTCTTTCTCCTTGTGTTATGTCGCTGTGCATGGCTAAAATTTGCAATCTACTGAGTGTTCCTTCTCACGTTGATAGCCTAATACACGGACAGAATCAAACAACCAAATCGTCGCCGACGTGCCTAGGATTTGACGGAGTGGAGGAAGAAAGGTAGAGCAGATTGTGAGAAGTCACATCAAGGGAGAAAGGAAGCCGACTTGCAAATTGTCGTTGCCCTCTTCCTCCGCAGTAAAACCCCACAATCGCCATTGCCACCCTCACCATCACCACCTCCAAATGAGCAAACTTGAGTGGGGTTGCTATCACCACCTCCTAGACCTGCCGATTGTGGTGATGTTCGAGAGAAGGACGATCAACGGAGACTTGGGGGATGGTGGACTGAATTGGTTCTATGGAGAGAGAGAGAGAAGGGAGTAGAAAGTTGGTTGTCACCAGTGCCTCCACAATCACCGCCACCGACATCTATTCTTCGGCTGCCAGGGGTACCACGAAAAAACAGAGAGAGAGAGAGAGAGGGAGATTAGAAAGGCAAGCATAATTTAGAAATTAATAAAAATATTTAAAATAAAATTGTTATATAATATCTTCTATTTAAACTATAACGATGTTTCTGAAGTTAAAAGTACTACTCAAGATTAACTTTGTGAAATTATTGCAAACGCTATCTGAACCAAATAAGAACTGGGCATGGGCCACGGTTAGGCCCACGCCCAGCACAATTTTTTACTCCCCTCCCCATAAGTTGGAGGCCGCACAATCTTCTGTTTTAATGGAATTGTTAGTTTTTTTTTTTTAATAGAATTGTATCTCCTTTCTTAAATTTGAAGTGTTTAATACATACATTATATTTATATTCTTAATTTTAGTTTCAAATAAATATAAATACAACCATATAAATAATTTTCTACAATTTTCGATGGAAGTCATTAGTTAATTATGGCTATCTCCAATCTCCTAAATTTTGCACCATCAATTTTAGAGTTTCTATTTCTCTTGTCTTTTTTATATGAGAAACAAAAGAAGTTGTACAGTATTTGGTGGTCTGATACTTGTATATATAAGATGCATTCGTTGTTTGGAATGAGAAGAAAACTGTCTGAATTTTTTTTTAAAAAAATGTGTAATTAATGAAAATTTAACCTTTTTTACCATTGGTTGAAATTAAATTCACATTCATAGATCTTCAAAAAATATTAAATTTAAAATTTTAATACCAAAGTGAATGCATGCAATGCAGGGCTTTATATATGCATTTTATTTCTTGGATTGCCACATTAGAAAATGAATTTACGATCTTATCCCAACCAATCTCTCGAGTGCAAGGGACTACTAAACAGAAGACCACTTAAGTAAAGCCCCGGGGCGGGGCCGGGCCTCTCTTTCGGGCGAAAGGCTCCATTGCCTTTTTGGTAGGCACTAACTATTTATGAACACGTCACACCACCACATGCATGGCATCTTAGAGCTTCTCTTAATCTTCCAGGCTCCTTTTTTGTGAAGCCAGTGGACTTACAACGAACTAACAAGTCTATCCTTAATTTTCAGAATAATAATAAAAAAAAAAATTTAAGTCAATACCAACACGGCATTATGTTATAATATAATGATATAATACAAACACGATATTATATTATAATATAATGATATGGTTATGAATAGGACACCATTAATTTCATTAGTAGAGATACGGACCCGACTTTTTATTATCCGAAGGAGTTGTAATTTTTTTTGTTACTTTATTGAAAAGCATCTTTTAAATTAATTCATACAGTTAAAAACTTTTTTGACTACCAACAAATTAAAAGGTTAATTTCATTAATTCATGCCAAGACCTGAATTTCAAATTTTACCCCCAAAATTTGCGATTACTTTAAAAACCGAACAAGAGGTTCTTTAACATGCGAGGCAACCCTTTCGTATTCTTGGGTAAATCTATATTATCGCCGGCTTTAAAGGTACTCAAAATAATTAATGACCCTGACTACGTTAATTGATTCCTAACATATCCGTCCTTTCCGTCTGAATAAAGAAATCTGCCTGCTTGCCTCTCTCGTTGTACAAGTACCTCCCAAACCACAGCATCTTCATTCTTCTCCCCTTCTACCTTCAACTTATTCCCACCCCTGGATCATGGATTTTCCTCAAACACCAGAATCCCAAATTCTGAGCAACTTCTCAGCCTTCTCTTACACCTCACACAAGTCATGCTCGTCATGGCCGTCCTCTCTTGGATCCCATTTTTCAGGCGACCATACAAGGAAGAAGAAACTTCTGCAGAAGAGTCCCGCCCACCTGCTTCTCTGGTCGAAGTCCCGGTCCACCTCGTGGCCAGTTCGATCCAGGAGAAGCTTCCGGTTATGGAGTTCGGTCGGTTCGTCGAGAAACTGGGACGAGGGAAACAAGAAGAAGGTTCGACTTGTGCGGTGTGTTTGAGGCGCATTGGGGAAGAAGATCAGGTGAGAGAGCTCAGCAATTGTGCTCACGCTTTCCACAGAGAGTGCCTCGACGGATGGGTGGGTCGGGGCGGGGCTACTTGCCCGTTGTGCAGATCCAAGCTGTTGCCCTACCAGGAGACGAGTGGAGAGTCAAGTGCGGCGGCCACCGTGGCGGAGGGAGAGGATGATTTACCTGTTCGGCGAGGACTGCGTTTTCGGCGATTCCGATGCTTTCTAGCCCGCAGGGCTTGAATGGTTTGGTACTAGGATTTCTATAAGAAATGGATAAGTTGGTTGACATTGACTTTAGTTTCGTCGCCCTTCATCTTTCTTGTATCCGGTGACTTAAGAAAATCAAATAGAGGGACTTGACATCTTCTTCACGTGATGCTCTAACTTTAAAGAAAATCAAATTTAAATATTTAATAAGTTGACCTAAAAAATTTAAAATTATTCGTTACCAAACGAATAATTTAGGTAAATTAAAATAGAAAAACTAGAAGATGATGATATTGTGGTTCTGGGTTTTGCTGTGTATATAATTTTTTTTTTAATCTCTGTATGATTCTTTTATTTCTCAAAGAATCTTTACCTGAACAAGCCTGGTAAACTTAACAGAAAATAGATTAATGCTATTAAGTGAGAGGATTTTGTGACTATATGGATTGGATCAGTGGCTTAGCAAATGGGTGATTTCATAGTTTGCTTGTCAAAAGATGGAAGATAAAGTATTCTGTAGTTAGAAATAAAATATTCTATGTCTCGCTTCTGCTCCTTTTAGCGGCCATCCATGGCCATTCGAGCTGGATAAAAAAATATGAATTGCATTCCTACCTATACGCACTGATCCGACCGCCACGCTGGCGACGGCACCAAGTTGGATTTGGAGGCGAAATGAGTGGCCATAGAGGTAATTGACTAAACATCTGATGGGCTACGACAGGAGAGGTGAGCGGAATTCATTTGGTTGAGCCAGACGATGAAGGGGACACAGCTCATGCCATCATCGATCACGAATTTTAGGAACCTGTTGGGTTTGAGCTTTCGTGTCATGATGACGCCCGCGATCTCGGCACTGGAGAGCAGGAGCGTGCCTCCGCGGGTGAATAAAGAGGAGGAGTTGGGAATGAGAGCGAGGAGGTCGAAGGCCAGGAGCTTCATGTGGGTGTCGGACAAAGCGTCCATGGCGAGTGACCATGGGAATGTGAGTGATCTGTGTGAGATGCAATAGTCTGTGCTGTAGAGATGAAGAATCCATATCATTGACAGGGTAATTTTGAAATATTGAAAAATTATTTAAAAATAAAATTATTAAAAAAGTTTTGATAATTTACAAAAATGTCACTTAATTATTGCCAAAGCAGCCTTACATCTTCGGATATCTACTTCCATTTCTATTTATATTTTTTTATCAACCTAACCTACCGCCAGGCCATGCCCATTCCCATTTATCACTCCCCTCCTCAAAGTTGTTACACCAATTTATTTGATATTATGTACAAATTTATTAAATTATGAGTCCTAGTATTTATTAAATCGATATTATAATTTATATTTGATACTAATTCAATAAATATTAAGAACATTAAAATAATAAGACAATTCTCAATATCAAATACAAATTCTACGGGAGACTATCTCGAGTTAAGAGTCACATGCTATCTTCTATTTTGATGAAATTATTAGTTATTTTCTATAGAATCGTATGTCATTTCTTAAATTTGAAAGTTTAATATTTAAATATATTTTTTTTTATAAAGTTATTCATATTTTCTGTACCAAAAAATATAAATAATTTTCTACTATTTTGGATGGAAGTCATTAGTTAATTATGGCTATCTTTGATATTCTAAATTTTGCGCTATCAATTTAAGAATTTCTAATTCTTTATATTTTTACACGTGAAACAAAAGAATATTGTATTTTATTTTGTGGTTTTCACTTTTAACTACTTTATATTTGTATTTATAAGAGGCATTCAGTGTTTGCAATTAGAAGAAAGAGTCCAAATTTTTTAGAATTTTTTAAAATAATAATTAATGAAAATTAAAACATTTTTAGGATTGGTTGAAATTAAATTAATAATCATAAATCTTCAAAAATTGTATTAAATCTAAAAATTTTAATTACCAAAGTGAATGCGTGCAATGCAGCTTTCTATATGCATTTTATTTCTTCTTTTTTTTTTAGGGGACATTTTATTTCTTCGATTGCCCACATTTGAAAATGAATATACGAATCTTATCCTATCCTTAATGTCTCACCAGCAAAGGACTAGAAAACGGATGACAATTTAAATCATGCCCGGGACCTCTCTTGAGGGCGAAAGGCTCCATCAGCTTCTTGGTAGGTAGTAGTCACTATTATATCATTAACATGTCACTCAGACCGAATGCATGACTTCTCAGAGCTTATGCTTATCTTAAAACTAAGGGGCATTTGATTAACATGATAAAATAGGATAAGATAAATTTATTTTACTTTATCATGCGTTCGATTGACGCGTAATAACTTTAGATAATAATACATATCAGTATCCTTTGGATACTGTATCAGGCGCGTTGGGTGGGATAAAATTTATCCCACCCTTATCAGCGTGTGAAATGTTGATATTAGCCTCAGCCCCACTCCCTTCCATCCTTAGTCTTCCTCCTTGCTCCGATTGCCATTGTCCTTTGCCCACGAGCGTAGAGAGGCAAAGCAGAGAGAGGAACACTTGGGTTGTGGAAGGGGGCGATTTGGTCCTGCCAGGCTCCAGATTTGAACGTGTCATCATCTTCTTCCTTTTCTGGTGTTCATTGGCCTCGTTTGCGCTCACTGCCGACATCGCCAAGCTCGATTGACCTCGGCAGTTGCTGTTTGAGCCCATCGCGACTTTTGGAGCTTGTTCATGGCGTCTATCTTAATTTGAAGATTTGTTCCTATTCAGGCCCAAACCTGATCCATTATGGGCTGGGTTCTTCGTCTGCTTGGGTTGGTCAGGCAGATGGCCAACCCAAGCTGGCATGTCAAAAGGAGATGGATGATTTGACGAAGGTCCGATTGTGTTGGTTTGGTTTTTTTTTTTAACCTATAAGAGTTTTTAGTAAATTCAAAATTTTATCATATTTATTTTCTATTGGACTGAATGTGTGATAATACTATTTAATCTGGATAAATTTATTCATTCTTATCTTATCCGTCCTATCTGAACGATCCCAAATAAATCTATCATTTATTTTAAGAGTTATTACTATTGGGTCTTATAATTAATATAATGTCATGGTTTTTTGATGTATAAATTTTTTTAATAATTTTGGATATGTAACCCTTAATTTTTTTGGTTGATGAAACGTGACCAAAAATTTGAAACAAAAAATATAAAAAAATTATTTAGAGATCATCTTGGATATATACATTACCGTTTTTTTGATATCTAAAAATGGTGAAGCGTCTTTTAGGTTAATTTATAATTTTTTTACAGTTTAAAACCCCTTTAACCACCATTATACTTCCATTAATTTAAACCGAGACCTGAATTTCAAATTTTACCCCAAAATTTGCAATTGCTTTGAAAACCGAAAAAGAAGTTTTTGACATGCGACACAACCCCTTCGTATATTTTTGGGTAAATCTATATTATCCTCGGCTTTAAAGGTACTTGAAATAATGAACCTGACTGTGAATTGATTCCCACCAAATCCGTCTTTTTCCGCTTTAATTAAAGGAAATCGACCTGCTTGCTTCTCTCGTGGTACAACGACCTCCCAGACCACAGCGTCTTCATTCTTAAATTTGAAGTGTTTAATACATACATTATATTTATATTCTTAATTTTAGTTTCAAATAAATATAAATACAACCATATAAATAATTTTCTACAATTTTCGATGGAAGTCATTAGTTAATTATGGCTATCTCCAATCTCCTAAATTTTGCACCATCAATTTTAGAGTTTCTATTTCTCTTGTCTTTTTTATATGAGAAACAAAAGAAGTTGTACAGTATTTGGTGGTCTGATACTTGTATAGATAAGATGCATTCGTTGTTTGGAATGAGAAGAAAACTGTCTGAATTTTTTTTTTAAAAAATGTGTAATTAATGAAAATTTAACCTTTTTTACCATTGGTTGAAATTAAATTCACATTCATAGATCTTCAAAAAATATTAAATTTAAAATTTTAATACCAAAGTGAATGCATGCAATGCAGGGCTTTATATATGCATTTTATTTCTTGGATTGCCCACATTAGAAAATTAATTTACGATCTTATCCCCAATCAATCTCTCAAGTGCAAGGGACTAGTAAACAGAAGACCACTTAAGTAAAGCCCCGGGGCCGGGCCTCTCTTTCGGGCGAAAGGCTCCATTACCTTTTTGGTAGGCACTAACTATTTATGAACACGTCACACCACCACATGCATGGCATCTTAGAGCTTCTCTTAATCTTCCAGGCTCCTTTTTTGTGAAGCCAGTGGACTTACAACGAACTAACAAGTCTATCCTTAATTTTCAGAATAATAATAATAAAAAATTTTAAGTCAATACCAACACGGCATTATGTTATAATATAATGATATAATACAAACACGATATTATATTATAATATAATGGTATGGTTATGAATAGGACACCATTAATTTCATTAGTAGAGATACGGACCCGACTTTTTATTATCCGAAGGAGTTGTAATTTTTTTTGTTACTTTATTGAAAAGCATCTTTTAAATTAATTCATACAGTTAAAAACTTTTTTGACTACCAACAAATTAAAAGGTTAATTTCATTAATTCATACCAAGACCTGAATTTCAAATTTTACCCCCAAAATTTGCAATTACTTCAAAAACCGAACAAGAGGATTTTTAACATGCGAGGCAACCCTTTCGTATTCTTGGGTAAATCTATATTATCGCCGGCTTTAAAGGTACTCAAAATAATTAATGACCCTGACTACGTTAATTGATTCCTACCATATCCGTCCTTTCCGTCTGAATAAAGAAATCTGTCTGCTTGCCTCTCTCGTTGTACAAGTACCTCCCAAACCACAGCATCTTCATTCTTCTCCCCTTCTACCTTCAACTTATTCCCACCCCTGGATCATGGATTTTCCCCCAAACACCAGAATCCAAATTCTGACCAACTCTCAGCCTTCTCTTACACCTCACACAAGTCATGCTCGTCATGGCTGTCCTCTCTTGGATCCCATTTTTCAGGCGACCATACAAGGAAGAAGAAACTTCCGCAGAGAAGAGTCCGCCCACCTGCTTCTCTG